TCCAAGCCACGGTTTTTAGCGCACCATGATAGCCTCAAGTGCAGACAATCAGTACTAGTGATGATAACACTGCGGTTTTATGGTTTAGTTTTGTTCGTCCCAGCTTCACTAAACTTACAGTCTCCTGCTTAAAATTCGTATGTTTGCAGGTGCTCAAACGGCGCAGATCCAGCGAAATAATGACTCCGGAAATCAGCTATACGGAAAGGGAGCCAGCTACTCAAAACTCGATGCCGAACGGTTAATTCATCGTCTTCTCGCTGATCGAATACTCATGGAAGAGTTCACAGTTACCGCTGTGGATACTGTCGCGGCCTACCTACGACTCGGGCCGAAGGCGGACAGTCTTCTTTCTGGTCAACAGAAGGTGTGCTTCTAGCCCATTTTCTTATTTTGCTTTCTGCACCCCGCTTTCACTGTCACATTCAACAAATCCCTTTATGGGCCGAAACCGTAATATATAGGAGTAGGGGAGAAGACTGGTTGAACACCGGAACAGTTTTTTTATTATTCCGAGTTTTGAAACCCGTACAGGAGTTTACCATCAGATATAACAGCTGCAGCAAAAAGGCGGCAATTATTGGGGGCGTGTAAACCAATCAATTATCAGTGACGTACGTCTGGAGGGGACTGCGCAATCAATCGATTTGGCGCTGGCGTACAGAGCCCTGTGCGGTCACCTGCAGGCGTGCGTCACTGATAGTTGATTGGTTGCTGCTGTTACCTCTAACGATGAACTCCTGAACGAGTTTTTAAGTTGAGGACGGTAAAAAAAAACTGGTCCGGTGCTTCTCAAGCCTTCCCCTTTATTCATTTTATGAGATTGTTAAAGCCCTACCATATCCATTTGAGTAGCATCGTGTCTGTACGTGTTAATGTCCCCCCAGACGTATGCAACGTTGTCCTTATTGTCATTTTAAAAACTTGGTACACTTGAAATAGGAGCTGGTGGTAGCACGTCACGCAAGTTTTAACACGCCGGGTTACCTGCCTTTTCTCATGAATAGTACAGTTCGGGCCAAAAGTCGTGCAACATGCCGAACTTTCGGAACGATTGTTAGTCATTAAGTAGGGTTGTAATACTGATTACCGTACAGACTAATCTCAAGACATTTCAGTCAAATCGGGATGCCGGTTCCTTTCTGACCACATGCAAACGTATTTTTGTAAAGGACTGCCTACTTAAGGAGTATGAATTTTATTAATTTATTTTCACTGCCTTTATTGATTCAGATATATTGTATAGAAAACATTCACAAAATCATCCATTCTTGCATTCGTTTGGTAGAAAATTACGTCTTCATAATTTATACTTGAAGAAAGGGAATCTTTCGGTTTTAAAAAGTATACAACATTACCTACGTTCATTACAAAAGTTCATGAGTAATGTATGGCAACTTCTTAATGAAGTAGAGGAATGTATGATTGTCCTTACAGGGAAGGCATACAACTTCCAGAATGAAAACTCTTAACCAAAATGTAACGGCTGTTGTACTCAACAGTATTCTCGGGTTGGAAAATTTGTAGAACAACACATATACCCTTTCTTTTGAAGAAGTGATTTTCTACCAAATAAGTACAGCATAAAATATTTTTTGCATGTTTTCAGTAAAATATGTGCTTGAATTTATAAGGTCATTCAGAATTAGTAGTCGGACAGTAACGGTATTAATTTTTTCCAAACGACGACAGTGCGCCTTATAACCCGGAACGCCTTATAAGTCGACTAATCCTGGTTACTGAGCTCGATGCGATATGTATAAAAAAAAAATACTCGAAAGTACACCATTTCTTGTCGTTTTTGGGCAACTTAAATGTTTTTCAGTGCGCCTTACAGTCCAGATAGCACGGTACAGTTTTTGCAAAAGGCGTGCATTCAAAAGCCTGCGCCATGGTATGTCTACAGGACCTTGCGATTATGCGATACTAAATGACACATCGCCACTTAAGTAATCCTTCCTTATAGAAAACACACTTCAGAATTTCCTGTGAACCATCACTGTCTGTACTTAAAAGAACATAGACTTGTGTGGACAGTTTTCCACATTAGGCGCATGCTAGTTGCTTACTTTTTATTTCTCATCGTAGATAATGCTGCCTGTGGCAGTTAACCTCAAGCCTCGTGGAATGGAGCCAGTCATTGCGGGTGAGGAACCAGTCGATAGGGTTGCCAGCATTCGGAACGATTGCTACGAAGCCCTGGTACGAACTGCCAAACAACTCAGTAAGTTCTCCGCATCGGTCGTCACAATGTTTCTGTCCATACCAGTGCATTTCGGGGGAAAACATTGTCCCGTGGTTGGATTTTTTTAATATACTATTGACTCCTAAAGGAGTCGTGTATTGATGTCTTGACTTCTCTTCCCTTAACAGCCTCTCAACAGGGCATTTCCAACTATGCAACTGTCTTTCCCAACGAAATGCTTCTGGAAATCGCCGACCAATTGCCTACGACTCCTGAGGAGCTTCTGCGCATTCCTCAGTGCACAGAGTACAAGTTGAATCGTTTTAGTGCAACTGAAGCCTTCCTAGATGTTACCCAAAACTTCCTTGCTATTCTCGGAGGTAAGTCTATCTACTCACATCAACATTCTGCGTAGAGCATACGCATTCCTAACGCTCTTCCAGAGTAAGCACGCGGGTGCCCCATTCTCGTTAAGTAACGAGTTCCGAGTTAAATGTATCCTCAGTCCTCGGAAATGCCGTGACTCCTATCAAGTTTTTTTTTTGCCGTAGGAACTAGTAGTTTTAAACACTACTTTATTGACGTGTATTTCGCTCCAAGGAGAACTCTAGGGGATAAAGTGCTGATGATAAGTAACTGAGCAACAACAATTCGACCGGGAGAAGCGAAACTACCCGGCCGCCTCATGCTACTGTATTCTACTGCCCTTTGTTCATTCCGCGTGCTTGACAATGAAGTTGAATTCCGTACTTAATATATGAAAATGGCTCACAGCCTACCTCCCTTGCCCCTCCCCAACCTCAACATGCCGATCTTGCCCTGTGAGTGACGTGCAAACGATTAGTCTTAACCATTGGACATTTATAAGCAAGGTTAGACCAAACCAACGTTTTGCACGTTATCCTTACTCGTTCAGGTAGGCTGTGCTCGAGTCGCTACCTTTACAAAAGGTTGTTTAAATTTGGTATGCTACTCGTTACTTTCCAGTAACACATTATGTTAAGTTAAATATTGCAGCGGTTTTAATAGGTTTCAAGTACACTGGCTGTTACCCTTGAGTATATTGAACCAAATCCGCTCTAACCCTCATATTGTTTAAGTCCGGTGATTAATTACTGAAAAAAAATGTTTGCCGAATTAACTTTTGATGCTTAAAATGCGAATGTTCGCAGAACTTAAACTGCCCTTGCCTCATTCGCCATTCACAGCATCTGCCTTTTCTATCCCAATTTGTGTTATTTCAGCTTTGAAGGAAGAGGAACAGGAGGCTCGAAAACGCGAGGAACAGTCGAACCTGCACTGCGGTCCTTCAGCAGGTCAATTCATGCGTGGGATGCCTGCACAGAGACAAAACGTCAAGTCGCAGTACTTTAAAAAGGCTCGGGTATGTGCCTGTTTTGTGTCGATTTTGCATCTATCCCTTGATGATAAGGTCTAGAAGAAGCGCCAATTGGAAGTGCTATCTTCCGCTCGAATTTACTACAAAATTACGTCTCGTTAGCCCTCCGTCGCGCTGTGCAAGATGTAGCCCCAGATCCCTGTCAGTCACGTATTGTCCGGTAGTTCTCTCATACCCTTGTAATTCTATCTGAGCAAATATGAGGCCTTTGGGACTGAAAGAGGTAGGCAGGTTGGCAGTTTTTTGTTATCTTGATTTTCTTCTATCTGGAGCCTTTGAGAGTGATAGGCAAGGCTTTCTTGTGAGGCCGCCTAAAGGCAAAAGTTCCCGCGCCCAAGTTTCTTTCGGAACTCGTAGTTAATGGTCTAATGCTTGATTAAGACGTAGTTAATGCGTGTTTAATGTGTGATAAGTGGACAGTAGGAAATAAATTAGAGCCAATTTTTATTGTTTTTATGAACCAAAATGTATGTGAAAGGCATGACCCCTCCTAGTGGTCAGCAATAGTAATAGACCAATAACAATATTAGAACAACTCTTAGTTAACATAACCAAGGGAGTGTTTTGCTAGGCGTAACAGGAAAGCCTTACCGAGTGTGATAATTTATACAGACGCCATAAATTCTCTGTTTTTATGTGATCAAGTTTGATTTTCCACCCTCTATCCCTAGCCTACC